GAAACCCTTTTTTTTTATATATTTTTTTATGAAATAAATTGGTCTTCACAATGTCACTTTTTTGCTTGAACCTTTGCGCCATTTGAAAATGAAAAATAGAAAATCAACTGGGTTTTTCATGGTGTTGTGTTATGAAGCACCGACTCAGACTCCACACTAGACACGAACACGTGTGTGCATGGAATACTAAGAGAGGTCATTTCTTGATGAAAAAAAAATCCCAAGATAAGATGATGAATCATATATGCTAAAAGTTAAAACAACTTGTAATTCTTATGAAAATGAGTATCATTAAAAAGATTTACAAGCCTTGCAATATTTATAAAATAACATTTTTTAATAGTTTTTTTATGATAAGAGTGTGGGATAAGTGTTTAGTCAAGAGTAGGTGTTTGTGTCTAGGTTGTGTAGGAGAAGTGTATGAGTCAAAAAAGAAATAATTTTTAATAGTGACATGGTGAAGGGGTGTTGGACGTGTGTTTGTTCAAAGTGTGTTTGACAACTGTCATGTCTGTAACGTGTTGGACATGCTGGTATGCCATTTTTGCAGAAGTGTCCATGCTTCCTATTTGTGTGTATGTCATAATTTGTAACTTATGAGTGTTGAAACTTGAAAGGCAAGTAGTTTGTTATTTTAACTTGTCCATTTGATGTTTCCTCTGCACACTTTTGTGATTTAAAAATATGATTGATCAATTTGATTTTCTGGTCACATTGTAGTTTAATCAGTCATTGGAGATGAAAATCTATCATTTATTTATTTTTGTGTTTCTCTTGCTACCAGGATTGAAAGTAAGCATCTGTAGAAAACTTTGTTGGCTTTTCACGACAATTTAAGCTTAGAAGTTGTAGCATGTGCGAATGAATTAAACATAGGAATACAACATTAAACATTTCAGCTTAGTAGTCGTTAGAACTGGAAAGGTATAATAAGTTTTACCTAGGTTGTTTGCACAACAAGGTTTTCCTTCTTGTATTGTAAGTTAGCCTTGAAATGATACTTCTTCATGTTAGCAGTATGTTAGACAAGAATGTATGTTGTGATTGGATTCTAAAGCCCCTTTACAAGTCACATTGTGAATACTTAAGCACCAAGATATATTTTTGTTGTTCAATTTTTCATATTTATGACATTTGTTTTGGCAGCTTTTAATTCAGGCACCATATATTACTGGTGAAAACTTTTCCAGTTATGGAACTATATCTTAGGCATTGTAAATTCGATACAACCTTCCTTATTATGTTACATTCCTTCATATGACAGAAGTCTGTGTGTTGTCAGTGACAAGACACTGTCACATATACGCCCATAGAAATGCTTAATGGGTTGTAAAGCATTTATTATCTTTTCAGTTTTCTATTGTTGCTTTCATCTCTAGACTGTTACGTTATGTTATGTTCCCCATTTCTCCATGGCAGAAGCAGAAGTTCTTACAGCTCCTCCAAAGCTGGTGTATAACAAACTGATTTTGGGGTAAGTGTAGACCCTCTACATAAATGCATACCTAAAACATATACTGGTAGCTAAAGTTTGTCATTTCGTGCCCCTTTCCTCCTTCCCCCAAAACACACGCAAGACTGAGTGCTTGTACTTGCTCGTGTGTGTGAAGGTTTGTGAGCAAAGGTAATAACTAGCCCTGTGATTTAAGTGCAGATTCACTCGGAAACTATTGGTTGCAGTCAGGGATACATGGGACAGTCATGCCCTGGTTATTAACAAAATTGTCCCACAAAATTGGAAGGTATGGTAATTAATAAATACAGTAGCATTTGTACTCATTTTATTGTCTCCCTCTTGCAAATTCATGAACCATGTTCATAATTTCTTTTTATAATTGAATGACTTCTATGTTATTAATCCTGATCAATTATTTGTAATACAAAGTTGCACCTCCCTTAAAAATGGGCAACTAGATAAAGTCAATGCTGAATCTTATTTATCCCTTGCTAAGTTGCTATATTTGTCTTTCTTACAAACAATGCAGTAGTTAATCATTTCAATTTGTATATGAGTGGAGCAATGAGAAGAAAATATATCATGCAAAAATAGTTAATCTAGCTTACAAGTTCAGAGAGGCATGGCTTCCTGTTATGCTTCTTTTTTTCATATAACTCTCCCATCACCAATTATTACACAATGTATTTGTGATTAATGCTGTGCTATTTTTGATTTGTCCTTACCCCTCCATCTTCTGGTCGTATAATCTGTCTGTGTGGCACATATTTGAAGAGATATTTGTTGTATTTAATCTAAAATGAAAAAATATATATAAACAAGTAAAAGTTGTGTAACACTGTGTAACATAAAATTTTGGAGTTGTCTTTTGATAAACCTAGAATACTCTTCTAGGGCACAGATGCTCTCTGAAGAAAAGGAAATTGTAATAATTTATTATTATGCAAAAAAAACATGCATCAAAGATCACATCAACAGTCTGTTCATAGATCCAGCATAACATTATTTCCTAATAAAATAACCCTATTGTACACTGGAGTAGGATAATCCAGAACAGAATAAAATCCCTAAATAACAAATAAAAACAAATCATGAACCCTAATTTTAAAATTAAATTAAAATCTTAAAACAATTTATATCACCTATGGTATCTTGTATTGATTATGGAGGTGTCAAACTATTATTGTTGATTATGCAGGAAATAGTGATACTAGTTAATCTTGGATTGGGAGAATTATCAAAATCACTAAGCAGCCAATGTTGGAAATTTAAGATCACAGATTCACAGGAAATAGTTTCATTCCTATTTCTTATTCTTGTAAATAGGATATATATATATATATATGTA